CGGTGAGAATAGTGACATCGGCGATGCGGCTGCCGATCGTGCTAGGGTAGACCATGTAACCGTAAAATGGAATTATAAGAAGTTAAGGAATCTATCAAATGCAAATAACAAAGTAAATCTAGTTCTATTAAAACAAATAATGGTGGCCTCTATTAATAGAACACTTTATTTATGAAAGGATTTAGTGTAACGTTTTTACATATTTATTAGGGCAAATGATAAAAAGGGACATAACAACGGACTTAAATGCACATTGGTCCACAAAAAAAAAACAGTCTTTTAAATAAACCCATCCCCACGTCTTTAGTCTAAAATATATCAATTCCATCCATTATACTCTAACTTCATTGACCCCGAATTTAAACAAATATATAACATTAACCCCCGAATTTAAACAAATATATAACATTAACCCCCATTTTAATAAAAAAAATTATGAATTTTTTTTTTCCGGCCAGATTCCGGCGTCGACTTTTTTTTTTTTTTTTTTTTTTTTGAAATTTTGTCTTTTCTTAGAAAATTTTTTTTAATTAATATTATTATCTTGACTGCTAAATTACTATGTTAGACAGTAATATTACAGCTTGGGACAATAATATTATTAATACTATTTTTGCGAACAGTAATATTACTAATACTAGTGTCCCAAACAGTAATATTATTGCATGAGGCAGTAATATTACGGTCGAAGACAATAATATTACAGTCAAAGACAGCAAAAATGCAGGCCAAGACGATAAAATTAATTAATACTGTTACTGTTCAAACAGTTAAATTACTGTTGAAGACAGTAATTTAGCAGCCAAGACAGTAATATTAATTAAAATAATTTTTTTTAAGAAAAAACAAAATTTCAAAAAGAAAAAAAAAGAAGTCAACTAACATTTAAATTTCTTCAAGCTTGGCTTCTTATGCCTAAGAATAATACTTATTTTCTTCAAAAAACAAGCACAAATTACTGTTAAAAAAAAACCTAAACCTATTTGTACCCAATTACATCACGCCATTTGTCAAAATCATAATTCAACTAATTAAATAAACAAACATAAATATAAGAGTGCGTTTGGATGGAGGAATTTGGAGAAGAATTTGATTTGGGGAAGGGAATTGGAATTACTCCAAATTTGAAGTTATTTGAAATCCGCACCAATTGCTCCAAAAACAACTTTAAAGGAAGGGTGTTGATTTGAAATTCATCGTCAAATCTCTCAATCCAAACAAATCCAATGAATTTGTTATAATGAATTTAAAATCTCTCCTCCAAATCTCTCCATGCAAATGGACCCAAAACAATATACAAGAGATCTAGTGAGAAACAACAATTGTCGAAAAATGGTTAGAAAACATAAGACGGTTCGATAATTATTTAAAGGTCACACATAACACATGGGCCACTTTAGCCTTACAATCACATACCATAAGACATGAAAAAAAAAAAAACAATTTATCACGATGAAATAAAAATTTGAAACAATATAATTAGGAATTAATTAAATAATTAATTAAGAAGTACATTCTTTAGATTTTTTCTTAGCATCCTTCTTCTCGTGACCCTCGTGAAACGCAATCCCACCAACTCCAACCGCCACAACCGCCGCTATATGTTCCTTCACTTTGTGTTTGTGTGCGTTCTCCGGGTCCTTCTTCGCCTTGTGTTTCTCATGCTGGTTATAAATTTATTCCATCATTTAATCAACAATGAAATATTTTATTATTGATTAATAAAAGTAACATAATTTTTTTTGGTAATAAAAATGTGTGTATATATATATATATATATATACATATGTACGTACCAAGGCATAAGCACCGGCAGCCATGGCGCCTAGGCCAGTCAATTGTTGTAGATGCTTGTGATGCTTTCGTTCTTTAGCATAATCATGCATTTCTTCTTCTGCTTCGACTTCGACTTTGACATCAACTTCGACTTCGACTTCGACTTTGACTTCTTCGGCCATGGCAATAATTGTTTAATTAATTATATAATTTATACTCTCTATTTACTAGTTAAGCAAATTTTGTTTTTATGGTGTAAAAATCTGCATTTGGATTTGACTATTTATAAGCAAAGACATGCCTTTATTTATTTATAAATATTATTTTTATGGTCGTGAGAAGCATAAATTGTACGTAATCATGGTATCGTATGATTATGTAAGCATCATAGTTTATAATTCATGTTAGTGTCACGTCTAACATTCCATGAATAAATGAATCTAAGAAAAGGTCAATTTTATTTTTTTCAAGTTGATAATATATAATTTGATTATTTCATATTCAATTGATCGTGTTTAGGTTGTGTTGAGTCAACTTTGTTTGGTTTCTTATAAAATCAAATCCTATAATATGTAAATTCATATAAAGTTTCACTTGGGGAAATGCATCGAATGTAGTATGTAGAAGAAACAAAAATTTTAAACAAGCCTAGTTTGAAATAATTGTTTCCTTTTTAGAAAAAAAGTTGGGGTTTCATTTGGATTTATTTGATCATCTCCTTGAATGTGTAAAAAAATTGGTTGAAGTTACATCTGCTTCAAGTTATAGTGTTCAATATGTTGTATATATTATTGTATGCTTCAAGTTACAGTGTTCAATATGCTGTATATATTATTGTACATTACTGTACATTACTAGTTACATATAATAACATGTAGTTACATATGCATATATTTGTGTATTTTCGATTTGCATTTTATTGGTTTTGAGGTGATTTATAATATAATATTGAAATTTGTAAATTTTTGTTGTTGGGGTTTTATGAATTTCTTTTATTTAAGTCAGTATTCGTGAGTGTACATAATTGATCGACTAAAAATATGGGGTAAAAGAAACAACATAACGACGAATGACTATAGTTTACTACAGTTAAATGTAGTTATTTTTAATACGGGAAATAGATTGATTTTAAACAAAAACTATAAAAAAACAATTAAACAAAAATTACTAAAAATATATACAAATTAAACAAACATGTTTGTAAAATAAAAATAAAAACAAAAGAAACATAATAATAGATAAATTAGCGAAAATGCTAAATGCAGGACCAGAAATCCTCAATGCAGTTTGACCGAAAATTGCCTATAAGAGGAGTATAGTATTTTGGCCTCTCCAGAATATGTCTAATTTTTGCTTGGGTTTATCCCTAGTATTACATAAATTTTAATATTAAAAAACAGATATATAAAATAAGCCCATATATTTATCTTCCATTTTTTACGTTACTTTATCTTTCTAATGT